AGTGGCAGTCACCTGCAAGGTAAGCTGGAAGGTGCCAGGATGGTCTCTTTAGTCTGATTCCAAACCCTGGTCTCATCAGCTGAGTGAACCAAGCAGCACTTCAGTTCGTGCTTGTTAACCAACTGGCAGCGAACCGATTTCCAAATCTGGCCCTGTCACTAATTAGCTGGGTAATGCTGGGCAACTGACCCAACCTCTTTAGGCCTCACTTTCAGCACCTCTAATATAAGGAAAATAATGGTGGTACCTATGTCATAGACCATGCATGTGAGGCATCTGGCACTCGTTAAGTGTTCAACAAATAGTTGTCGTTATTGTTATTAAGTTGAGTATCTTGCCTACGATTTCATGAGGAGACAGATGATAAGCAGACTTCCTGCCCACCACTGAAAGTATACAGGTGTCCCAGCAAAAGACAGGCTCCCTGGTCCCAACGGCCAAGAAAGTATCTTTGACAGGGGTTTGGGGTTTAGTTTTGTGGCATGAATCTCCCATCCTCCCTAAAGAATGTAAAGATGGTGCATGGAAGTTTGAAACAGATTCTCAAATCGTGAAGTCATTTCAAAAAAACCAGCTCTTGAATTGGTTTGCCCAGCTCAGGCGTGGAGGCTGCCGTTTGGAATGGAGGTTCAGCAGTGGACTGTCAGGAGGGGGAACAAAGCGAAGCTAAGACCCTGCCCTAACAGAATGAGCGCATCTCACTACCTTCAAGCCTCTCCCTCCCCACCTGTCCCAGGCAAAGCAACATCTAATTTCCCTGTTTCTGGCAGTTCCTGGGCTTGCCAAAGCCTGTCCCTGCTGCCATGCATGCCCCAGAAACCCTGGCCTGCCTGCCCTGCCTGCCTGCCTCTCCAGGACGCTGCAGAAACTAGGGACAGAGGATGCTGATCTACTGCTTCCCATTAGCCAGGCCTCTGACAGCCTCCGAGCACCTTGGCTTGACACAGGCCACGAGCCAGCTCTGGAAGGTCAGGGCCCAGGAGCGGGAGCCAGCGGCTTTCCCAGGCAGGCCTGTCACAGTGACCCCACTGATGTACCTACCATCAGATGGCACATGGCCTTATTTATTTTGTTCAAATCTGACAATCTGAAAATTTCTTTTGCGTTTGCTAAACACATTTAGATGGTGCAGTCTTCTCTCTCTTGTCTTCAGAGGCCATAAATGATGCCATTAGAAGCGCCCACATGCTGGCTGAGCCAGACTTGCCCAATGCACATGGCTCTGAGGATGGCGTCTCTCCCGTCCTCAACTCCCGCCCCTCGTTGGCTGACCATGGACTTGGCACAGGAGGGCTCTGGGGCAGGAGGGGGCAGGCCTGGGCAGCAGCCTGATTCTACCGTGCTTGCCAGCATGACCTTGAGCACATGACTTAATCTCTTTGGACCTCAGCTTGCTTATCTAAAATGGGAAAAACTGTCACCCTAAATATGTTTCATGATTATTGTGAGGTTAATTATGTGAGGTCCTCTTACAAAGAGACAAAATCAAGAAAGGGGCTTGGAAAGAATAAAGCATATTAAAAATAGCTGTAGACATAAATATTTCAGATGTTGGTCTCATCTGTCCATCCAAGCTGGAAACTCCACAACCTTCCTGAGCACAGACAGCCAGGCTCACCTGCTCTCGCCACACCCCACCCTCCAGTCCTTGGTTTGGGCCAGCCCCTTCCCTGAGCCCACTGATCCTGTCATCAAGGGAGGGCTCAGGAGTGGGCGGGCAGTCCCCACAGGGACATGGCTAAGCTGCAGGCATCATGCCCAGGGATCAGGAACAGTTGGGGTCCTGGATGCTGCCCAGAGTCCCCAGCTTGGAGCAGAGCTGGGAGGGTGACTTCTGGGTGGGATGGGGGGTCTCTATCGCCCTCCTCTGAGTATGAGCGGAAAGCAGCCCTGGCTCCAGAGGTACAAAGCGAGCCTTTCTCCTCTCCTCCAGCTCTAAGTGGTGGCTGACATGTCAAGAATCCCTCTCCAGAGTCCGAATGCTTCTCCGCTCAGGGAACCTTCAGGGCCCCTACCACAACCTCCCTGATCCTTTAGGCTGAACTGGAGTCACCCTCTAGTACTAACAGCAGACATGCTCTGCAATAATAAAAGTAACATGTACACAGCACATTACGGTTCGGAGAGCCCTTTCCCATTTTCCATTTCACTTGATTCCTAACCTCTATGAAAGAGACAGGATAGATCCCATTATTGCCCACTTATGTACAGCCAAACTAAACACTGAATTGTTAAGGGACCTGCCAAAGGCCACACAGCTGGCACTGGAACCCAGATCTTCTGACTCAAACCCCTGGCCTGGGAAGCCAACAGCTAAATCTTCAACCAGCACAGTGAGCATCTCCAGCTGGCTCGTATCCCAGAACCTAAAGGAGGGAGCAGGGTCCGCCTGGCTAACACGACGGCCTGAGGGGCCTTGATAAAAGGCACAGTACAGGAATTCCTGGGAGCCAGAGGTATGTCCAATGAGCTGATGGTAGAGCCAGGGGTCCCTTCTACCACCAGAAGGGAATCCTCTTTCTCCTTCTCTTCCTAATCACCCACTCAAACAATAACTGTCTGGAGGGTATGAGGGATGGACAGAGCTCCACAAGCAGTACCGGGGGGGGGGGGGGGGGTCTGGGTGGCTGTGTGCCGGGGCCCAGGGCTACCCGTTAAGGCCCACGTGGGCCCACAGGAAAGTTCCCGGAGGTGCAGGCACAGGGCTAAACCTTGCAGCCCAGACCAGCCAGCTTGTGGCCCGACTGCCGAGAGTGGTGCCCCCTGCTCCCAAGGAATGAACCCTTCGGTACGAATGGAGCTTGTTCCCGCCACCTTTGCTCCTGGCCTCTTACAAAGGTGTGGCTCTTACGGCTAATCACTCACGGCATTCTCGGGGGAAATTCAAAGAGGTGCACGTACAGTATCTCAGAGCAACTTAGTTTCCAAAGAAGTGAGGAAACAGACAAATCAGAAAAAAAAACAAAAAACAATAAAGCTAGGTCCATTGTTATTATTATTAATATTCTGCAGAGCAAGTTCAGACAGTCTCCTTCCTGGGAGGTAAGGCAGTCTATCAGAAATAGAGTAGCCAGAGGACATGGGCCTGACTCCTGGCCCGGCTACTTGCTGGCCAGGATGCCCTGGGCTAGTTTCTGAGCCTCCCCGAACCTTGCAAGAAAAGAAACCCCCTCAGTGAGGTCATGTATGGAAAGCACCCGGCTTGGTGCCAGGCACACAGATGTTGACTGTGTGTTCCTTTATTCTTCTTTCCCGCCCAAGGAGCATCTCCCAGACGACAGGCTTCCCTTCATGTGGACAACTCTCCCAACACAGGCACACTCACACCCTGCTTTCCTAACGCCCATAACATAACAGCAGCAGCAACTCTAGAACCATCCTTAAAGACCACATGGGTTTGGACTGTCCCATGACTCTACCCACGTGGAGGAAGACCCCACCCTGTGAGCCACTCTCTCTGCCATTGGTGTGCAGCCTCCAATCCCCCACCCCCCGCAAAGGCTCTGCCTCTGTGAGGTTCACCAGAACGCTCTGTTACTGATCTCCCGTTATTTCTCCTCTCACACGGGTCCATAATAACTAACTTATAAATTACAGCCACTTCCTGTAGCCTGTTTTGTGTTAATACTGCTGCGACAAGTGTACAGCTTAGTGTTACAGCTCTTGACCAGGGAAAGAACAGAGCAGCACATGAAGAGTCGGAGAACAGTCTTTATTCTTCCCACAGGCTCAACCCAACAAGTGTTACAACTCTCTTCAGGACTTCCGATCTTCTGACCCCCCCCTTCCTTGTTCTCCTCCTGCTTTTATACCCTTTGTAGGGCTCAAAAAGCATCCAATCAACTACAAGCTTTAACATCCAATCAACATCAAGCTTTAACATCCAATCAGCAACAAGCTTTAACATCCAATCAACAACAGTGGGATTCAAAAATTACCCAATCAGGATCACGCAAGCAGCGTGCCCTCCAACTGGCCAAGCGCAGCTCTGGCCAGCAGAGATGCGGAGCAACGGGAGGCAGCAAGCGGCCAAGTCCCAGCTCCCAACATTTTCCGTGTCAATACACCATCAGGAATCGTGGCCCCTCTGTTATCTGTGACCACTTTTCTTATCACTGTGGTAAAGCGGCCAAGGGAAGAAGGAGGCTGCTAAGAAGGAAGCCACAAAATCACCTACTTGGGGCCTTTGGGCAACCCTAGACTTCGGCACAAGAAGCTTTGCGGAAAAGAGCTCCGTGCGCCGTTACAGCAGCCGTTAACTATTCATACTAGCTTTTCTGGTACTGACAGGGAGGGCTGATTGGTCTCCACTACAGGTCAAGCTGTGGCAGTACACGGGAAGCCAGGACACAGGTCAGAAGACACAGCTTACAGTCCCAGTTTGGCCACTTACTACATGTATGGCCTTAGGCAAGTCATGGAAGCCCAATTTCCCCATCAGTGAGATCAGCACGATTTCAGTACCTAGCTCCCACGATGGCTGGGAGGCTCAGATGAGATCAGAGGGCAGCACAAAGGAGAGGAAAGGGGATATTTGGGATCCTATATCCTACACCAGTTTTTGCATTTCCTTATCAACTGCCAATCTTTATCCTTAACCTGGCATGTGACGCCTTTGCAGACCCAGCCCCAAAGACAGCATTTGCTCCTGCTGCCTGGGGAAGGTCACTGAGAGCCCAGTGCCCTCCCAGCAGCCCATGTCCTGCCCCTGCTTTCCCCAATCATCCAGCAGATTGGCATCCCAGTTTACACAAGCCACATTTGTTAACTCCCTTTCTACTTCTTTCCCTAATCATTTGTTTCCTCTCCCATCTCTCCATCCCCCTCCACCTCCAGAGTTGTGCTTTATCTCCAGTGAGCTTAATGCTTCCCTGATAAGACTGGTTAATCCTCTGCTGCTCCTCTTTTGCAGAGATGGAGGAGATTAGAGGCAAAGGGTTAGGCCATCTCCCCTTCAAGGGCATTCAGGACTTTAATAAAGGAATTGGCTCCTGCTTTCCCATATGATACTCTAGATCCGGGTTTCTTGTGTTTCTGGTGAGGAGCAGCTCTGGCTACTTCCAGATCATGACCCTCCTGATGGGTGCAATGGGTAAGGGGGGATGGGTACCGATTGGGCAAATGGCCTGGAGACTCAGACCAGGCTCTCTGGACAGATGAGTCGAGCTGGTCCTCAAGAGCAAAATGCCTAAAGGACACATCTCTATGACCAGTGAGGCCACACTTAAAGCCACACTGGACATGCAGCAGTATGCACCTGGTAACAAAAAGGGGAGCTCTAGCTTGGGGGAAATGACTCTGCCAGGCAAGGCCTTCAAGACTTCTCTTCTGCAAGTCGTGAGGGATTCACCAGTTAGTGGCGCAGGTGCAGCAGTGCTACATCGAGGGTCCTACACTGTGTCTCCTGGGGCACACGCCCAGTGCTACTTCACAGCAGGCAGGTGTATAGGTGATGTGACAGTGAGGCTTCAGTGTCTGCTGAACACTACTCCTGGTGTACAGAACGCTGCAAGGAGACAGAGGAAATGACAGACACAAGCCCTGTGCTAAGGACCAGGACAAAATGACACACAGGCACAGTGCAGCTGAACTGTACATGTTACTGCAAGCAACTCTACCGGACTGTCGAGTTCAAGAGCTTTGTGAGGTTAGGCTTAGGCTTAAAATGAAAAGCTAATTTTGAAGACACATGATTTATAAAGAGGACATAGACTATCTGAGGTCATAAAAATGGCTCATTTATTTTGAAAAGATGTTTATTGAACATTTGCCGTGGGCCACGCACTGTTCGTAGAGAACAGAACGAATATATCTGCTTTCCTGGAATTGATAGTCTAGCAGACAAGTCAGAAGTTAAGTGAACAATAGTATTCTCACTAATTGAATAAAGACAAGAACAGGGCATTGTGAACGAGAAGAACAGGAGGACCCTAACAAAAACTGTGAAATCAGGGGCGGCCTCTCAGAGGAGGTGATGGCTGTGCCCTTAATGAGGCGTAGGGATTAGCTAGAACAGGGAAGGCAGGAGAAGCATTTCAAATGGAGAGCAGCATATGGAAAAGTTCTGAGTTGGGATAAAGTTGGTTCCTTTGAAAAGCTGGAAGAAGGCTGGCATGGCTTAAGAATAGAAATTCAGAGAGTGGGAAGAGATTTTTGAATTGTATCCTAATTGTGATAGAAAGTTAAGCAGGGAAGTGATAGCATCTATGTTTTTAATATATCACTCTGGCTGCTGTGGGGGAACCAGACTGGAGGGAGGGCGAGAATGGAGGTGGCAAGTATAGTGAGAAAGCTTCTGCAGGGGCAGGTGACAAGTGATGGTGACATGTCCTAAGACGGTGGCAGGGGACACAGAGCATGGTGGCTGGATTACAGGTATATCTTAGAGATAGGATTAGTAGGATTTGACGATGGACTGGATGTGCGGGGAAGTATCTAGAGTGACACACAGATGTTTTACCTTGAGCAACTCAGGGAGTAGAGGCGTTATTTACTAAGTCGGGGAGGAATGGCAGAGGTGCAGATTTCGGGTAGGAGTTGTAACAGAGATCAAGAGTTCAGGTTTGGCTACCTCAAGCTGGGGATGTCTTTCAGGTGGCTACGTGGAAACTGTGCAGAGACACACACACCCCTAGACCGGACTTGGCCGTGTATCACAGACCGGAGTTGGCCGTGTATCACTTCCTGCCACTGGCATGGAAGAAATTATGCAGGAGAAGTACAGAATGAGAAGGAAAATGTCCTGATGAACTATATTTTGAGGTGAGAGACAAAGAAATGGCTGGAAAAATAGCATGGAAGCTAAAAGATGGGAGCGATTCAGGACAGAGGATTCTGTGGAATACTGCTCGAAGGTGAAGGTCTCTCAAAAGTGTCTGCTGCATTTGACAACATGGATATCACAGACAAACTTAGCAAGAGCAATTTCAGAATGAATAGAAACCAGCTGGGATTGCACTGAGCGGGCAACAGGGGGTTGGGTGGAGTCAAATCCTCAACAACCTTGGCTGTGAAGGAGGAATAGAGAGCCAAGCAGGAGCTGTCTCCCAAAGGACAGGAGTGAGCTATGACCTCCTAACGTCTTACCCAGGCCAAAGTTTTCCAAATTGGCATGTGAGATGGCTCCCACACTATCAGCCCTAGGCTGACCATCGGAGCGTTCCCTTATATCTCTGCAAGACAGCGCACATGGACTTAGAGAATGGGAGGGGCCGTTAGCTAGCACCAGCTTTCCCCTCTCGACCTGGGCTTCACCTCATTCATCCCCGGCACAAGAGCCCCTTTCTTGTTCAAATCGCACTCAGGAAACCTCTCCGGTGTGGTGTTCCGGTATTTAAAACTGTTCAATCATTAAAGTCTCCTGCCTCTAATGGCAAGCTCCTGCATACCCACAAGGTATGAAGAAGGTAGGGAGGAGAGCCTCCTGAACCCTCTGCCTGGCCAAGAAGATCTGACTTTAACCTTCTCTCTTCTGGACTGTGTTGTCCTAGGCCCACCCAACAGACCCCAAACTACCTTTCAGAACCCATCTCCTACTCTTCTCCTTCCTGCACACTCCACTCCAGCCTGCTTATGTGCCCTTAAAACACCTGATAGTTTCCTACGTCCATATATTTTCTAGTTTCCCTTTGGAAGTAGTCCCTCCTGCTTGCCTAGCTGAATGCTCTCCATCCTTCATAGTCGGGCTTGAGTCCATTCATCTCTAGAAAACCCTGCCTGGGCACCCAGCTCTCTCTCTCCCATACTGCTGAGGGGCACTGGTTTTCTCTGCATGCATCCATACCTGTCCTACAATGACGAGCGGGACTGCCTGCATATTCCTTTGTTTTCTTTGGTAGTGCCTATACATCAGAGACACTTTGGTAAGTATTTATTTATTTATTTATTTATTTATTTTTGAGGCAGAGTCTCGCTTTGCTGCCCAGGCTAGAGTGATGGTAAGTATTTATTTATTGACAGGTTGGCTGAGAAAAGCCAGGGGCCCTTCCTCCCTGAAGGATGAAGACTTGCAGCAGGCTGTTCAAGGCTGCAGGAGCAGGATTTGCCAGGGCCAAATGAGAAAAAAAAAACAGGTGCCGCAAAGTATTCACCAGCCTGGATTCTACAAAATCACCTGAGAATTGCCAAGTTACTGAGTTCGAGTTCAAAGTAAGCTCTGGCCATCAATTATTTCAAATGGTCTTTTAGAAGCCTATCCCTTCTTGGAAATGTTTAAAATTTAAACTACAAAAGCTCATGTTTTCTTTTAATCCCTTAGATAGATGTTTATTGCCATTTTAAGCTGTGGATTTGCTCTGGCACAGCCCTTTTAAAGATATTAAAAAGGCAACTTTCAAACCCAAACCTTTTAACTGTATCATGGTTCGTGAGACAGAATATTGCAAGGTCGTGAAAATTCAGCCTGCCGGTGTTTTTTTCCACTTGAGGTACTGGCTAAAGTAGACGTAATAACTAATGGACGGCATGGACTTTCATGCAATATGAGTTCCCATTAAAAAGTTTACGCTGGCAAAGTTTTCAGGGAGTAAACATTTGTGGAAATTGATTCAATCAAATCTGGGCTCCAAAGTGCCCTTAAACATACAGCAATACTGCAACCACGAACAGACAGGTAGACTCTGGACACAGATCTGTAATAGCATGCTTCATGATTTCTTGGAGACTATTTTTGTTCCCTTGAATCAACAACAGGAAAACCAGTGGCAGTTTAAAAACAAAACCTCTTTCCAAATCCTAGATGCAAGGATTTAGTGGGGAAGGGTCAGAAATACTACTGCTATGGGTTCATGCTCATTAAAGTTGGTTCCAAGTGGGCGCACCCTCCTATACATTCATGGAAGTTCAACTACCATGTCTGTTCATATCTTAACTGCACTTCTCCTGAGGTCAAGTACATTTTATATTTTATGGAAAGAATTATTCATTTTATATATATATACTTTTACTGATTTACAAACGATCTGCAGCAACAGAGAGCCCCAATGTGCAGTTTTGGGAAAAGTGAGGCTGCCACTGCTCAGTGACACTCAGTATAACTGCTCTTTCAGGGGCCCCAGGCTTCAGGGACAGCAGTTACTGTCCTCCAGCAAGATCACCCACTGTTATCAGTGTGAGGCCAGGGAATGAGAGGGAGGGCCCTTGCCCTGCCTGTGGCTTTCCCTGACTTGGCTGGAAATACTAGGTTTAATTAAAAAAAAAAGTAGTTTTAATAGACACGTGTTCAGATATAATCATTCTTCTGAAGGTGTGTCTGTTTTTAAATGGCATGATTCACCCAAAATAATATATCCCTAATTTTTTTTTTTCACATTTAGCTATCTTCCAGAAAGAGAACACAGTGTGCAGAAGCATATTGGAAATCGGTCCTCACATTTCTTCCCTAGGAATGAGCTTTCTCCAGCATTGAGCTTTTATGCTTAAAGAGAAAAGTGCAAAGTCTTTGGGAGGAAAAAAGAAACAAAACGACCTGTCAAAATTTCTTTTAGCGCCTATGACTAGTGTTAACTTACATGCTCTCAGAGTGCAATAAAAAGCCTCCAAACTGCTGCTAAAAAGATGATTTGACCTTTTAAAATGGGAACTCCCCCACCCCATGCCCATATTAAACAGATGAACCTTGGGAGCTCTAGAGTTTTAGATTAATAAATGAAATGAGGTTGAATTCCAGAAAAAGGGTTTCCCTACAGGCTGTGGGATAATTAGGGTGTTCTAGACCTACATTGTAACAGCAGGTAGAATGCAGGCCCCAAACCTTTTAGCCATTTTAGTTGCCAACTACTCAGAGTCTGGTTCTGAAAGGAGGCGGGCAGGGAGTTATGAAAATTTAGCAAATGAAACAGTCCCAGACGCGACTGCCCACCGCAGCCTGCGGTTCGGGGACAGGCTGTCGGCCCCTGACGGCCAAGGAACCGCGGCGATCCTGGGTCTCCGCCGCAGCCGCGAAACCAGGCGCGCACCAACGGCGCTGCTGAAAGAAGTTGGAGAGCTCCCAGGTCGCCAACAAGATTCGGCGGTGGGCGCCGGGGAATCCCTTCCAGCGCCGCAATTAGGAAACTTTTGAAAAGTAAAGACCCCAGACAAAAGACCCATCCCTTCCTTGAGCATAAGAAACACCCCGCGCCACGCCAGCTGGAGACTGCTCGCACAAGGCCATCCGCCCTGCTTGGCCGGGACGCGCCCGGTGCCTTCCAGCTCCTAGCAGAACTGGTCCAAGGGGGCGCGGAGCCAGAGAGGCAGGTCTGCCGGGGTTGCGGCTCCAGACAGAAATGCCTCCGGCCTCCCTGGCCTGGGGGACAAGGGCTTGGATTCAACAGTCGAGGGGGCAAGGGCTGAACCACCAACTCCAGCTCAGACGCCCGGGACCTACTCTTCCAAGCCCGCTCCAGTTTCTCCAAAGGACGCGCGGCACAGCCCATGCGCCCCCGGCACTCCACTCCACTCCTCTACGGTTCCCCCCAAACTCTTCCCGGAGAGCCCCACAAAGCACAGAAGGCGCCCTGAAACTCCCAGGGCACTCGCCAGCCACCCCCACCTCCGCCTCCTGAACCCTCCTTGCCGCGTTCTTCCCGCCCCGCACCGTTCTCCTCGCGTTTCTGGGGAGTCAGAAGCAAACCACGAGAAAATGCCTTCGCGAGGAGCCTCCCTACACCCGCCCAGTGACTGAAACAAAAGCGCAGGGAGGAGGGAGGTGGGAGAGGAGGCGGGAGGAAGGTTTAGAAAGAGGATGGGGACAGCGGTAAGAAAAAGCTGGGGGGTGGGGGTCAGGGTGGAGTGCGGAGACGGGGGCCGGGACCCGCTCCGGCGCCGCGCGGTGGGTAGCTTACATGCCCAGGTCGCTGTAGGTGTTGAAGAACTCCATCTGGTTGCACGCCTGGATCCAGCCCACCACCCAGGTCTCGTGGCGGGGGATGGGGGGCATGACCACGCGGGCTGAGGCTTTGAAGTAGGGGGTCTTGTAGCGCAGGACGATGGGCGAGGTCTCCTCGATGCGCGTGGGGCACTGGTCGATGGTGGCGCACACATCGTACACCACGATGTTCTCTCGCCGGATCCGCGCCTTGCAGGTGATGCTTTGGATACAGCCCATCCTGCCGCCCGGCGCCGGCGCGGCGCGGCGTGGGGCAGCGCGGGGGCCCGCGCGGGCAGCCGGGGGCGCCCGTCACGCCGGCATGGCTACGCGCCGCTCGCTCCCGGTGCGGCTCAGCTCGTGCCTAGGAGCGGGGAGCAGCCGCCGGGCATCCTCGGGGAAGCCCCCTCCTCTCGCCGCCGCGCGGGGTCCCCGCTGCCCCGACGCCCGCCCACGCCCGCCCCCTCGCTCCAGCAGGGCGCACGCGGTGTGCGCTCCTAGGAGGCGGCGGGTGCCCTCGCCGGCTCCGGCGCCCGGGCGGAGGGCAGGGAGGGGAGCGGCGCTGCGAGCAGTGGTGCCCACCCCGGGCCGGAGCCCCCCGCCCCTCGCCGGAGAGGAGGAGGCGGCGGCGGCGGCGGCATGGAGCCGGGGGAGGGCGGCGGCGGCAGCGCCCGGTCTATCTGCCTCCGCGGCGGCAGCAGCAGCAGCAGCCGCCGCCGCCGCCGCCGCCGCATGAACCTCTGCACCGCGGCTGCCCCCCGCGTGCAGCGCACCCAGCGGCGGGCGAGCGGGCCGCCCGAGCCGCAGGCGGAGGCAGCGGCGGCGGCGGAGACCGGCGCGCCCGCCGGCCCCGCCCCGTAGCCAGACCGCGGCGACACTCCTCGGCCAGGCAGCTCGGGCCTTGGGGGGCGCCAAGGGGCTGTGGCCCGGGCTGGAGGGCCCCGCCGGCCGGGGCCGCCCGGAACGTGCTCCGCGGAGGAAACTGGCTGTACGCCATGAGTTTTGTCCCTCTCCGGCTGCCGTCCGCGTGGGGGGGGGCAATGTGTAAGGGTGGGGGTGTTTAAAGGGCCGCTAGCGCCGGGGTGGGGCCCGGCACGTGGGGCTGGGCCGGGGCGGGGCGGGGCACGGGTGGGCGGCGCCCGCGGGTGGGGGTGGGGCGCTGGGGGGGGTGGGGCCGGGAAGGGCGCGGCGCTGCCCGGAGTCCGGCGGGAGCCCTGCCCCGTGTTGAGGGTGGGGAGTTGGCCTTTGGGGCAGCAGAAGGATTCGGGGAGCAGCTTTAGCTGAGACTGGTCGTCATTTATAATTTAGCTTGTCAGGTTAAATTTAGGCTTGAGCTCCCCTAGTATCCTGTCTTCAGTGGAAATACCTCTTTCTCTCACTGGGTTTGTTCTGGAAGCTCTTGTTTCCACCGCTGTGTGCATAGTAAGGGTACCTGAAGAATGCCACCGCACTCCAACACCGGGCCACCAGAATGCCAGAGTTTTGGCACGATGTTGGACATTGTGTATGGTGCAACCACTGTCATGTGTCTGGTTTTGCTGTCTAAGGTGCCAAACAGGAAAAACATTTTGCTGATGCTTTTACTGGGCATCTTACATTTATATTTTCAGAGACAAACGCTTCCTTTTAAGTATTTCTTCCATGATCTTTGAACATGTGCTGGATCTGGTGGTGCCCAAGTGTGAAATGCTCTTGACTAACAGGCCACAGGAGGCTGCTAGAGTTAGTCTTTAGCTGGGACAGATGTGATGAGTAATTTAAAAATGTAAAAGCGCCCTTCATCTTTGTTTTAACTTTTTTTTTTTAACACCTTGGCTCACTTTATAGTTAACAAAAAGGCAGGGTTTTTTTTTTTTTTTTTCCCTTTTATGACATGCCTCTCTCATTTTATCATGCAGCCACAGACTTTGGTCACTGGTGCTTTTATTCAGCAAACACTGACTGCCTGGCAGGAACCTAGTGCTAGGTACTAGGGATTCAAAGTTGCACAAGAGCAAGCACATGGATCACTGGAGAAGATGAACATGTTAATAGGTTGTTCCAGTAAACTGCAGCATGACACAACAGAACCCGTGCTTTATAGGGATGTGTATCCAGTGCCATGGGAGGCCAGACAGGAGAGCCACTGAGACATTTACACATGGGCCTGCCGAGGCAGTAACATTTGAATTGGATCCTGAGGGACTGATAGAGGCTCGCTGAGTACAGGGAAAGGGACCAGAGTCTGACAGATGCAAAATGCATAGAGGTATGAGAGAACTCAGCATTTTCTGAGGGAGAAACAGCTCACAGTCAAGGCATTTCTCAAAATGTTATGTGCCATCGGCATCAGAAACACAGTCCAAAAATCACTTGTTGATAGGACCCTATCTTAATCTTCAGAGGATGCCAGCGAAGGCAGGACTTTGAGAAAAACTACTCTGTATGAACCTAGAGGACAGAGCAGGCAGGGGGTTCAGGATATTGTGAGGACAGATGATTTGGCCTTGAGCTGGGGCAGTGGCATGGGGCTGGGGAGGCCTGGCTGCATTTGAGAGTCATTTAGGAAGTAAAATGGATTTACTTGGTAACTGATTAGATGTTGGGGAGAAGGTCTAGAAGGCCAACTCTGAGTTTTCTCGCTTCGGTGATTGAATATAAGTGTTCAGAACAAGCAGACAGAAGTGGAAACGTACTGGGGTCTGTGGGCGAAGTCATGTTAAGTTTAAGGTTCTTGGAGGGCATTTTAGGGAAGGGGTCAGAGTTTGGGTTTCAGGAGTTATTAGGTTCCAGGAAATAGACCAAAGGGAAAGCATTCAGTTGGAGAATTAGTTTACTTGTCAGGCTGCAGTTTTGTGGCTAAATACTTTTTTTGTCTTCTGGTGACTGACACATGTTAAACTATCATAGACAGTAAAGAGAATGGTAGCCTTCCCCCAATTATAGGAAAATCATGTAAGGGAGAATATGTCTTATTTTTCAAACTTAAAATAAGACCTTGTTATATCCAGTAGAGTGCCAATAAAATATAATGTTATTCACAGACTTGGACCCTTGACATTCTCAAAAGGTTCATCCATGACCTTGGTGATTCTCCAAAATCATGAATGTCATCATGGCATATAATTTCCACCATAAAGTGCAGTAAAGCGTAACTGAAAAATGTAAGAAATCCTTTCAGACTCTTAATGGTTCTATAAATATGGGGCCAAGGTAATTTCTAAAGCTATTTTAATAAGTTTTGCGATTAAAATAAACTCTTTACTTCATTACTTTATATCTTTACCTTATTAACTCCATATTTTTTTTTTCTGTAAAGAAAAAAATTAATCACAGTATGAGAATTACTGTGCAGATGTCAATGAGAAGAAAAGAGCTAAGCTGTACTGGGACACAAATGCCAGGTGTTCAGTACGGTCCATCCAATAGCTAAGTGCCTGGCAGGTACATTCTGGCCTCCTAGCAGCCCATTCAAAATTGTGTCTTGGCAAATTACCTCATGACAGGGACCTTTCAGGTCACTCACTGGAGACAATTATCATTCATGAATATTCAGTCTGCAGATGCCAATGCATGTAGCTCAAATGAAGCCCCCCAGAAGTGCAACAGTTTCTCTGTGCTGCTCGTTTAAGTTTCTCCTTCTCTTTCCTCATAGTAAGTCTCCCCTGCCTCTATTAACACCTTCCATGCTGTTTCACAGTTGTTTGCTAACACTTGTCTCCTCCAGTAGGCCGTTCACTCCTCAAGGGAATGTGCCATCCTGCCCTAGGAGCGGCTCCATAAATGTTTGAATGACAAAAAGTGTTCTTAAAAATCTGATAAAACATTATTTCCTATACCTCCCCTGGAAGTTCTTTCCCATTACCTACAACAAGCGTATGTTTTCAGGCTAACTCTGCACTGTTCCTCTTTCCTTTCACTCTTTTTTCCCAGTGTCCCTCCTTGATGTTAAGTGATGGCCTTTGTCTTTGAGCACTATGCACAATCTCAAGAGTTATCAGTTCTAGGCACCAAGAAATGGAAAAACTCCAGTGGCAAGACCTTGATGACAATCATTCCTTCTGAACAACTTCATCGGAGCTTGTTCTCAGGGCACAGTACAAATGATCCTTTGTAATTCCAGCGTTTGATGTTCTTGGGCATGACAGAGCTCCTCAGTTCCCCGAGTGAGAGCCCTACAGCACACTCTCCAGGATGCTGGCCTCTATGCCTTCTTTACAATCGCTTCCCTCAGCTGCAGATGACCCTGCACTTGGTGCTTCCCGAAGCAGGGCGATCTCTGACTTTATTTTTCCTCTTGATTGACTCATTACTCAATTTGTCAAGGGAGCTTTTTAGAAATTCTGGGTCACAAGGGCCTATTTTCCAGCTGACCTTGGCAAGAAACAAACAGACTTACCAAAAGTTGTTGAGGAATTGCCTCTGGAGCTGTTCAAAACAGATGGATTTCTAGCTAACTTAGAAGGCCCAAAGAGAGGCAAGAAGTTAAATGAGTCCTTAGGTCCAAGAGTACAGGATTAAAGAAACAAATCCTTTTTGGTTGTGAACTCCCCCACTACCACTCCATAGCCGGAGTTATCATTTCTCCTCCAGGACAGGCTGAGAAACTGAACGTGGAGTGGACCATGGCAATAGACTCAGGTGCTTTGTGGAAGTCATTCAGCCCAAGATGTGGCAGCCAGTATGCTTCAAGTAGCTTATATTTACCAAGCTTTTCCCACTGGCCTTGCATTATATTAGGCTGTGGAAATTAGGAAGAAGGATGCCCTGGTTCCTCAGCTGTTCTGTTGAAGGTCCTCTGGACCTGTCTCTGTCACATTCAAAGTCCATTTCTTTATTCTTCTCTGCAAAATTTGATACTTTTTTCTTCTTTTAATCCCATGATTCTAAAAATTCTGATTCTCCTCTTGCTTCTCCCACTCCTCTTACTTTCTCATCTCCCAAGGTAGTATTTCCTAATGATCTCTCCTTTCCTACCTGAACCCCCTCTGGGTTTTTACCCATGTTTTAACTCTTATTTTTCATGGAGATCTTCTAAGTTTGTCCTGCCAGCCCAGCAGACTGAACTCAAAGCCAGCACACCCATTTACCTGCTAGATGTTTTCATTTGGATGTACCACCATCTCTTCCATCTCAATGAGTGGGTACCTCACTTCCTGCAAGCCAGTGTCTTCTCCCAACTACTGGGTTTCTGGCTGAAGGCCAGTTTTGAAGGTCAGAACCATCTTGGGCTCCCTCCTCTCCATCTTTGCCACTTTATCTAGCATACTAAGCCAGAGCATATTCTGATCATGTTTTCTTGTTATTAGCAAATTCATCACAAATCCCTCAGGTTGATATTGAAGTGCTCCATGATGGGATCCCGACCAACTGGACTATTGAGCCTTTTCCCCCCTCTACTTCCTGCCCACCCTGGGCCTCAGCCCAAGCAGATGACTCACCAGTCCCTCAGCTGCCCTCCATCCTTTCCCGATCTGGCTCTGTGATGGCTACACCTCGTCTTCCAGTTGCATGTCCAATTCCCGCCCAGTTCCATGACAATTATAATAATAATCATGTGTGTCTCATTTATTCCTTGCACAAGTCTGTGAGGAAATGTCATTATCTTTTTTTTTTTTTTTACAGGTAAGGGTACAGTGGCAAGGAGTAAGGAATATTCCCAGGGTCAGCTCCGGTAAGTGGCTGGGCCAGGATTCAAACCTCTGTCTGACCACACACGAATACTGCCTGGCTCTCATGAGAAATTCTGTGAGCACTTCTGCTGCAAATGATCTTTCCCACCCCTAAACTCCTGGTCAGAATTCAGAGTGGGCACTGAGTAAGGGACACGTGAATGAACAAAATAACAGGATTTCATAATAGATCTTTATATAGAAGGATCAAAGTGGAAAGAAGAATCAAGGATAAATCCAAGATTTCTAGGCTAATAGCTTAAAGAATGATAATACTGTTGTCAAAGTGAATCACATGAGGAGAGTTTGGTGGGTTGGGGGCTGCAGTGATCTTGATCTTAGGTTATCGAAGTTTTCAAGTGAAGTTCCCCTGTGGCAAAGTCACCGAAGAACACATCTTGTTTGAGTTGTCATTTTAGGAATTACAGCTTAGTGCAATGCTTCCTTCTCCCTTTTCTCCCTCCTCTACTTTCTATCCCTTTCTTTCCCCCCTTACTTTCTTCTGGAAATATCACTGAGCCTTCTCTTGGTGATTAGAAATCCTAATGATGACGGTGATTAGAGATTCTGAGTATAAGATACTACATGCGGTTCTTACCTTGCTCATAGCACTCACTCTTAAAAAAACCACAATCAATTTACATGACTCTCTGGTTAATTATCATAGTCTTGAGTTTGTGTGTATTATTTGATTTTGTGTCCTCAGTTCAAAGCACAGTGCCTGGCACTTTGTGCTTAGATGACAATGAGTGAAAGGTGGCCTGGTGAGGAAGAAGAGAAACAGTGTTGCAGAGTCAGACCAGTGCTTCTCAAATTACAATGCACATACAAATCACTTGGGAATCCTGTTAAAATGCAGATTCTTGATCCAATAGGAGGGGAGGGTGTGGGGCTGAGACTCTTCATTTTGAATGAACTTCTAGAGCCGTGTTACTCAAAGTGTAGCCTGAGGACCAGCCGTGTTGGCATTCAAGTTTGAGAAGCATGATGGAGGGGTGGTGTATTAGGGAGCAGCAGGAAGTTTATTATGGCGGGCACAGCACATGGGGGTGCAGGGATGGGAAAGGTAAGGCCAAAAAGGGAGGCTGAGACCAGAGCCTGCAGATCTCAGTGTCTACACAAGGCAGAGGGCGATATAGTGAAAAACTAGTGCAGCTGGAGTCAGGTATACCTGAGTTCTAGTCTCAGTTTGGACGAGTACTGGCTGTATATCTTCCCTATCCCTAGGCCTCATTTTCCTTGTGTATAAAACGAGAATAAGGAGAACACGAGGTCTACCTCATGATGTTGCTGTCGGCATTAACTAAATGTGAATCTTCTGGGGTAACGCCTGGTGCATGGCAGGTGCGTGGTGGCGGGCGTCATCACCGTTGCGTGTGACAGCCATCGCGAAGAAAGCATGATCGCTGCCTGGAGGAGTTTCCAGAGTGGTCAGATCATCAGTGTGGATGAGCCTCCTGGCTGCAGCCCCTCCCGTTTGTGTGTTTCAGTTTCATGACTGGAAGGGATAAGCTGGGAATTGGTTGCACAGCCGTGGCCCGGGCGGGATTCCCACGTGCGGGGAGCCCCAGGTCTGTAAACACCCTCAGCAGAACGCAGTTACCTTTCCTGGATTTGTTTTGGCCTCATTCATATTTCTTTTGGACACCTTTCTTCTTTTTTCTCTTCTTATTTCACCTGTGGGTTTTCTACTGAACACCGGCTAAGCTTGGACGAGGCGTGTTTTCCCACGATCCCTCCTCGTGGGTCACATGGTGGGATTTAGCTTCAGGTGTACGCAGCGCAGTGTGGAGCGGCAGCTGAGAGCAGGTGCGTGTCTGCGGGGGTTCCTCGTCAGCAGGGCTGGCCACCGCCCAGCTCTCGTGCCACGTGGAAGGCAGAGCCACCCCCTGTCCTCCCCATCTCCTTTGCTGCTGCCACTGCTCCATCCTCATCAGCTAGAGCACTGGCCTCCAAAAACAGCCTCCCCTGGAGAAGAAGAAGAAGAGGATAATAGAATTTCCATTTTCTGTTATTTTTTAACTTTGCCTATTAAAATTTCTATTTTAGGTATGTGTTATTTATGAATATATTAGTTATGTGTTATTGACATACATCATTTATAAATAAATGGATGAGTAAACCTAAGTGGCAACCATTGATCTAGACAATTGCAATTTTTTTTCTAGCTGGTCTCCTTGTCTCAGTCCTTTCTTTTATGTTACGCTCAGAGTTATCTTTCTAAAACACACCTCTCACTGATTGATTGATTCATTCATTCACTTGCTGAGCTGCTGCCATGGGTGAGGCACTGAATGAGGTGCTGGGGTTACGAAGGTGGGTAAGACACTGTCCTTGTCCTTACAGAATCCAGGGAAATGGGCTCCTTGTGATCTCATGCTCCTCTGTGTGATGAGTAAGACTTTGTAATCTGGCCCCTTCCCCCTCTGCAGCCTAAACTCTACCCCTCCACTCACATTTAGCCACACTGAGGTTCTTAGTGGTGCCCAAACAGTTTTCACCCCGAGTGCTTTTCATTTTCACATCCCACAAGCATGTAAGCCCCACGAGGGCAGGGGGCTCCACTCTTCTGTTTGCGAATGTATTCCAAATGCTTAGTACAGCGCTTGGCACATGCTGGCATTTACGATATTTATTGAATGCACCAATGCCCTGCACATGCTGACTCCTCTTCTTCGAAGTCTTTTCTCTCTGGTGGATATCTGTCCACCTTTGAAAGTCACCTCCTCTGTGAAGCCTTAAGCCCCCTCTCCCTGGCCCCCACATTCATGCTCTCCCATGCCCACTGAGCTCTTTTTTCTTTTCCGCAGTGCTCTGACTATTCCTCCGTATTAGCAATTGTCAGGGTGTCTTGTAACTGCTTATTTATGTGTCGATGTCTCCAACTAATGTGCATGCTCCTTTTGTGGTAGTCACTATGTGTTTTTCATTTTTATATCCTGGTGCCTGTTTCACACTAAGTGTTTAATAACTGTTTCAGAAAGGAAAGAGAAAGACAGCAGAAGCTAAAGTCTCGTGAAGGCCAAGTCCTTATAGGTCTTGCCGGGCAGAGAGATGGTGATGTATGAGGGGATGGGTCAGGCCCTTGTGGCCCTGCCTTCAAAAAATCTCCTATTATGTATTGAATTGTGTCCTCCAGAAAGTATGCTGAAGTCCAAATCCCCAGGTACCTCAGAACGTGACCTTATTTGGACATGGAATCCTTGTAGATGTAATTAGTTAAGCAGAGTCACACGAGTTGGATGTGCCCTCAATCCAACATGACTGGTGTCCTTAGAAGATGTGAGGACACAGACACACCGAGAGAATGCCATGTGATGACAGAGGGATGCAACCAAGAAATGCCAAGGATTGACAGCCACACCAGACACTAGGGAGAGGCAAGGAAAGATGGTACCCATGGTCTCCAAGGGAGCATGCCCTGCCAACGCCTTGATTTTGGACTTCTAGCCTCCAGAATGATGACAGAGTAAATCAATGCTGTTTAAGCCACCCAGTTTCTGGTGCCTTGTTATAGCAGCCCAGGACACTGAGGCACGTCCTCTCCCTCAGCTAACGCACTGGCCGCTCCCTGCAAGTTCAGCATCTCCCCTGCCTGTACGATCAAGGGTCACCTCACTGAGGTCTCCCAAGGACGCCCAGCTATACCCCTCAGCCTCCGCGGTGCCAGGGTATCCTGGTTGTGAGCTGAATCCGATCTAGAGCCTCCTTCCCGAGACCCAGTGCCCATGTTAACCCCTGGTCCTGGTCACCGAATTTCCATCTCCTCCCTAGGATCTGGTGCTTCCCCCATGCCCCATTCCTAAGAACTGGCTTCTCTGGTTTTCCTGAGCCTCACAACTGGTTTCTCCACATTTTCCCTTCTACCCTGTCCCCACCTATTTTTGTACACAGTAGTCAACATGATCTTTTAAAAATTCAAATAAGATCGTGTTGCTTATTCTCAAAACACATGCCAATGTCTTCCTACATCTCTTGGGACCCTATTCTTAGTCTCACCGTGCCATGACCATGATCAGATATTCATGATCTGGCTCTTGGATGCCTCTCCTGCCTCATCTTGAACCATGTTTTGTCTCATCTATTTCACCTGCACACTTTTCTTCTTTTGTATAATTGAATAAGTTAAGCTACTTTCCACCTCAAGCCTTCATGTGAACTTTTTCTTCTAATGGGATCACTCTTCCTCCTGCACCCCTGCCCTGACCTCCAACCTCTGACCTCCAGCCTCTGCACTCTCACATAGCCATCTCATTCCTCAGTAATGCTTTCAGTCTCCCAGACCCCACTAGAGCTCACTACTGTGCACCCTTAAAGCCCTGTACCTCTTTCTCATAGCACTTATGAGTAATTTATTAATCAGTCTGCGGTTATTTAATTTTATCTGTCATCCTTGTTAGAGTATAAGCTCCATAAGGGTAGGGATCACAATTATCTTCTTCATTGCTGTTTCTCCAGCCCTCAAAACCATGCCTGATGCATAGTGATGGTTCACAAAATATTTGTTGAATAAATTTGGAAGCTTGTCTTGGTAACCTGGATAACCTTGGTATCCCAGTCCTAGAGATGTTGCCCTCTGTCACCCTTGATACTCGTTCACCCCCTTGGGTGGGAGAGACATCCTTGAACTTCACCTTGGTACCAGAACACTGCTGCATACTCTTAGACTTCCCTCCTATTGCCTACCTTCTCGCTGCTTCTGGATTTGTCCCTGTTCTTCCCCTGGTCAGGACGCATCCGTTACTCCACCTTGGAGGTTCTGGTGCTGAGGCTAAGCCTTCTTGATGCCATGCTGTACCCGTGGGAGTAGACACATTCCTCCCAGCCCCTGGTTGGAGATCTCCATGTCAGTTCCAGGTCCCACCCCTCCTGGACTGCCCCATCCAAATTGTGTCAGGGACAAGAGTCTGGAGATGCAATGGGAGCATTTGAGGAGCTGGTGAGGGGACCCTCAGGGACGGATTGGGGAGCACTATGGTATGCTGTGTTTACTTAGAAATCCAACATGGGCCTTAGTCTAGGCTGAAGAAACACAAGATGAGGGCAGAAATCTCTGTGAGCATTTACCATCGGAGTAATTATTTTTATGAATTCTAGAAACAATTGATTCATGAAGAGGAAGCAAGTCCAAATCACACTGTAATACAGGGAATAAGCAGTATATGAAGAAAAATGATACAAAAAGGAAGGAGAAAACCTGAGAATTTCTTAAAGTTGGGTATTGTGTTTACTGGAATAGAAACTAATTCTCTCTGTATCGCTCAATAAGTATCACACACAGTGGCAGCAAAATAACATTGGTGTTTACACTTCCTGAGGCAATTGGAAACTACAGCCACAATCCTGTACTGACATGAGACAAACATCGAGTAGCTCACACAACACAATTTCATTCCACAAACCCCCCACAGAGCTGGATGGATAAGGCCATGCTGTTTCCCTAAAATGTTCGAAGCACAATTGATTGCATCTTAAAATAGGCCCACAGCTTGGCACTGGGAGCTTTATTGGAGAGTCATGTCTCTGAGCCTTTGTGTCTTCCAGTTAACAAAGGATTGGTCATGGAATTAACTACTCCAGTCTTGGGCAGCTCATATGAATTCTCTGAGCCTCAGTTTCCTTGTTTGTATTTGTAATTCAAAAAGATTGTCTTCATGTCTGTCTCCAGATTTCCTCCTGTTTTTGTCTTGGGAAACACCCTTATAACTGCTTGGGATAGAAGATGAACATCTGAGCACGAGGAACATGAGACCTGGCAAAAGGATGCTAATTGGTTCTCCCAGCGAAATGAATATGAATTTGGGGGATGGAAAGAGAATAAAGCAAAGAGAAGACAAGGGAGAGAGGAGAGAGTGGATAGCCTACCAAATGGGTGGCGAGAGCTACCCATTAGAATAGGGAGAACTAATGTTCAGTTTTAAGTGGTTTCTATTATTCTTTCATGTAAAAGACCCATTCCTCTGTGTCTCCAAACCTACAACACTGTCTTCTTTACATGCAAAGTCCGTGTGTGTGTGTGTGTAGATTAACACATTAACTGCCATGAGAGTTGTATTTAGAGCGAGGCTGGGGCCATGAGAATCATATATAAAATCTTGTTGATGTTCTTATTGTTACAAGTAATATTGACAATTTAGTTCTAAAAACGTGGATTAAATGAATAGATGTCAATGCATTTTGTCTTTCCACTTATATTTACCTTTAAATTACACTGAAAGTTTTTATTCTATTTTCATAATAAAACACTGTGGCCCCAAGGAAAAGTTTCTGGGTGTTTTTTTTGTGTGTGTGTGTGTGGCAGTCAGTGTGTTAAAGGCTAGGGATGAGTTCCATGCCTGAGTCAACTCTAGGGCAAAGGTGTAGGAACAATATGAGTCCAAGTAAAGACCAAGAGTTGAGAAGTGACATGAAGTCAGTGGAGAATATGAGGACACAGGTGCCCTGGAATTGACAGAATCTCTGAAAGAGGGATGGATTTTCTGAGAACATGGGATGAGAATTTGAGCCAATGATATTCTTCTTCCTCAAGGAGAGAAAGACCTGAGCACACCTGGGTAACATGCAAAATAAGGAAAATAAACAGGACACAGGGACAGAAATCTTTGTAAGCACTTACCATTGGAATAAGTAATTATTTTATTACTGCTGGAAACTGCCCTGCCCCGATCACCTTACATATTTGTCATGAGTTGAGAAGGGCCATCAGAAGGCTCATGCATGTGAAAAGCTTCCAATGTCAGATATGGTTAATAATATTATTTCAGAGGCTTAAAACCTTCTCTGCTTGTGTCCCTGGACTTTCTCACTCAATTTCCAATTTGGAAACATTATACAAAGTTATTGTTCATTCTTAGCATCTTTCTGACCGTGCTATGGTCAAAGCTAAAATAAATGTAAAGCTGAGAAGTTTGGCAGAGGTCTAAAGAGACTGAACAATTTCTTACTCAAAAAGGAAGAAATTAAAATACATTAAACAAATGAAGAAACGAATGGTCAATGGGAGAAAATTCAGCTCCTTTTC